GTCTGCTTTGCCGACTTGACTACTCCTTCCCTTGTTAGTGTTGCTCAGGAGTCACTTTCTTCAGTGCTTTCTTTTTTAAGTCCAGGGTGACTTATGTCCCCAGTTTTCTGGGACAGTTGTCTTTACGCCTGTTGTCCCAGTGTAATTATTAATAACTCCTTCTTTCCCCTTCAGAAGTGTCCTGGTATGACTCATACACCTGTAACTGCCCTGTCCAAAGACACTTTGCATTCTCTTCTTGGCTGGCGTCAGCGCTTCTCTTTGTGCTCTCACATTCATCCTTAGTTTCTATCAGGGCATGTGACTCCTTATTCCTTTCTTATTCGGTATCTATTGTCTTCTCTGTGCTTTGAATCCCAAGACATCATTCATTAGGATTTTCATCTTTTTATCACCATTGCCTATCTTATAGCAGTGTTCAGTAAATATGAATATTGATAAAGAGACATAAACTGAGTTTTTCAGAAGATATTCCATTTACCAGGTGATAAAACAGATGCACATGATTCTTAGCTGTCACATAGCAGGACAATTAATGATTCCTACTTAGTGGTATTCTTACTCGGTCACATTGCACATTTACTTGTTTTACATTATTTTAGAGTATAAAATATTAAGTGATACTAGAATATAGCAGTGATTGAAACATTTATCTGATCTACAGTTTATATTTATAGAAAACCTATTGAACTTTTTACTCTTCTCACAAGGTCATGGTGGAAATGGTTTCTTGAAATTTCAAGATTCTGAAGAAATTACCAACATAGAACTTGCAGATGCTTTTGAACAAATGTGGCAGAAAAGACGGTAATTAGCAAAGGGTTTCTTTTCATAAGATATATAAATATCTGATTTTTGCATGTTTAGTAGGCTTATAATTTTTATTTATAAGATTTTAACTTATTTTAATTATTTCTTCCACCCTTTTACATTTATATTTGTTATTTCCACTGAACTGAGTGGAAATTAAATTTAAATTTAAACATTTTTTAATTTAACTGAAGTTTTTTGAAGACATCGTCTTGCTCTGCTGCCCAGGCTAGAGTGCAGAGGCATCATCATAGCTTGCTGCAACCTCAAACTCCTGGGCTCATGGGATTCTCCTGTTTCAACCTCCTGAGTAGGTGGGAATACAGGTGGGTGCCACCATGCCCAGCTAATTTTTTATTTTCTATTTTTTTATAGAGGTGAGGGGGTCTTATTATGCTGCTCAGGCTGGTTTTGAACTGTTGACTTCAGGTGATCCTCCTGCCTTGGCCTCTCAAAGTTCTAGGGTCTAGGTGTGAACCATGCTCAGCCCTGAACTGAGTTATTTTTAAAAGAAAAACTCAGGGTTATTATATATGTATAACATGAAAAACCAAATTTCTTATTATTAATGGAGTTCATGAGCATTTGTTTATTTTCCAGCTTGTACCTGTTCTTACTTTCTAGCTCCTTCTCTGGGCCCTGGTGTAATAGCAGCATATTATTTCTTTGTTGGAAAAAAATGGCTGCAGTTATGATTAGCATAAAATTTACAACTTAACGCCCATTGAGAATGATATGTTATGGCTGGGTG